AATTCTGGGAGTTGAAGTCCACACATCTTCAAGCGGCCAAGGTTGAGAAACACTGCTCTGTAGGGTTGCTTAAGCTCTGATTTGCAAAGTTCAGGACCCAATGGAGCATCCAAGAGTATTTGGGATGGACCAAGATAGAATGACCGGTAGTGGACAGATAAGTTCCAAACAAACTTGAATTGAAATACTGGAATCGATGGGAGGGGCAGAGAGAGAGAGGGACATGTCACACTAAGCCAAAATATTAGATGTATATTTGTCCCAGAGGGTGTGATATGAACGAAGCATTCTGGTGTGTCATTTATTTGGCCAGTTTGCAGCCACCTAATGTGGTTTATTCAATAAACCATGGTTAAATTATGGCTTGTCTGGGTGTGCAAAACCAACCCCCTCCCTTCTCTCAGCTTGACCTACTTCACAGATTTGTTCTTAAGGGAAAATGTGGATGGGGAGAAAAATCAGAACATTGCAATAAATGTGAATGGAAGAAAGGAGGGAGGGGAGATATAATTAATGCATAATTACCTGCCTCTGTGTGTGCGTGTGTGTGTGTATGTCTATGTGCCCATGTATGGAATATTTATGATTATGTGTATAATGCCCAAGCACATTTGGAATTTATAAACAATCAGAACAGCCCCCCAAGCCCCACTTCATTCTGCATTATAAGTCACATCTATTTTTCTTAATGCAATTATTTCTCATAATTTTTCCCTAACCTTGTCCATCAGTCATTGCAGTAGTCTTTACGTTCATTCAATTTTTCATGTCTTGGGACGAAAATAATAATAATAAAAAAATATCTAAGCCATTTATCACTTTCTACTTTGAAAAATGCTGGGGCAGTGGTGGGGAGGGGGAAATCCTTGCCAAACGACATCTTGGAATAAGCTCAGGGTATTTATTTATTTATACATACATACATACATACATACATACATACATACATACATAGGCTTATCCCTGCCCATCTCCACGCAATGGGGGACTCTGGGTGGTTTACATCAAATTAAAACCATAAATACATAATTAAAAGTTATAAAAAAAGAACAAAACTTACCCCCACGTAGAGCGCATTGCAGTAGTCTATCTGGGAGATAACAAGGGCATGAGTGACCGTTCGAAAGTTGACCTCTCTTCCCTCAATTTGTTTGATTTTTTTAAAATGCCATCTCAGTCTATTGGGCATCATTTTGTACCTGCTACAAAGCATTGTATTCCTCTGAATTCTTGAGCTTACCAAAACGCCATTGCTATTGTCTAAGCCAATGTTTCTCAACCTTGGCAGCTTGAAGATGGGTGGACTTCAACTCCCAAGATTCCCCAG